GAAAAGAAAAGAAAAGAAAAGAAAAGAAAAGAAAAGAAAAGAAAAGAGAAAAGAAAAGAAAAGAAAAATAGTACTACCTGAGCTTTTTAATATGAAAGATTAATTGGTATGAGCTGGAAAGACTATATAAAGTACTGTGGTTTTTTAGTATTCCCTATGTAACTAGGGTTTTTCTTCCTAACATGGGTAAATCCTTCATATTCAAATTGAATGACATTTTACAGATTATGTGGGGAAGTTTGAAATGTGTCACTCAAAGATAGATGACGATAATAAAAACCTTTGAAAAGTACAATTTTGTTTGCACGGGACAAAGTAACTTTAGACATTGAAAAGGAAAGGGAAATGCGAAGTTTGTTTTCCTTTCATTTGCTACAGCAAATTAGATGCTTTTATGCTTTTTATGTTGGAAATTCCATGTTAACGACTACAGATTAGCAAGGATGTCAGAATTTTTTTTCTTATCAGAGCTCCTGAATAAAATCAACATTGCCAGCGGCTCACATCCAAGGTATGGTCTAAATTTACATGAAATATCACATTACAAATGTCTGAAGGTACATGTCATGGATAATTCAGTTCATATGGGCAGCCTTTTAGACTCTGAGGGATATGCAATCAAGGCTTTCCCCCAAAGGAATTTGGAGTTTCTGTGAAAAAAGACATTTTAAGTTTTAAAGGAACTTCTGTAGTTATGGTGCGTCATTTGTGGGTTTGGAGAAGAATAAAAAGCACTATTCTGTATTTTCAGAATCTCTCTAGTACTGTAACTTGCACTTGCCTACATCCACTGTATTTTATCCTAGTGTTACCTACTTCACTTGATTAGCACTGAGGTTAATTTGAAGGCTTTATTTTCTTTATTTCTTATATAAGCCATAATCATACATCCAAGTACTTGAAATCAATTTTTTCCAGATAATTAATAATAAACATATAATGATCCTCACTTTTCCTAAACTAGGAATTTTTATTTGGATTTAGTCTATTTTAACATAAAATAAATGAAGATGTGTTACGTTTGACAAGATCTGTGCTTGATTAGCTGGTCTTTGTTCCCTCAGCCTAGTTGAGCATGTCACAGCTGTGTTGCTGTTGAAGTGGCAGATTTCTTCAATAAACCATACAGTTTAAAGAAAAATACATTAATTTTTGCAGTGTAGTCCCTTCTTACTTCAGATTTAGATTTTGATTACTTTTTCCTTTTTTTCTTTTTTTCCTTCCCCTAGCCAAAACACTACAACAGTTTCTGATTACTTCCAGATCTTTTACAGATTCTTCTCTTTGGGGATAAAGCTTCTGGAGAAACTGAGTAGTTGTATCCCAAAGGACTTTTATCTCATGCCACTTGTATTTATTTTTCTGTATCTTATCTATTAACAGAGGAAATTTATTTTCTTAAACACGAAATAGTGTCCTATTATTTAAGACATCTTGCTACTTGATCTGTTTTAAAGTATAATTATTATAAGGATAAATCGTTACTTTCCAAAAAACACTATGCCATTTGTGATTGTAGATACATGTAGAATATCTGATAAATTTCTGGATTTTGTAGTTTTTCAAGACATCATTCATTCTGTATTTCCCCTCCCCCTATGCTGGAAGTTCAATCAAGATTGTCATTAAGGAGCCTTCTAGATGCTATTTCTTGTAAACAGGCTTTTATTAGAAAAAAAACCCAAAACTGTATGAGGAAAATAATATCCATAACCAAAAAATGCTTTACTTAAAACTGGCAATGAAACCTATTAGGGGATTCTCAAAGAATTGGTAGCATCTAAGTCCCTTTTATAAGTAAGCTGTAAGTAGATTCAGAAAATTGTTTACTTCTATGAAAAATTGTAGAACTTAAAATGCCTTAAATAAAGAAAACTATGCCTGGAGTATATCCATAACTTGAAAAACCCCAGTATGTGATTAATTAAATTGAGCTTCAGCTAAGCTTTTCAAATGTTGGTTTAACGGTGTGAGCTTCATAAATGAGTTGTGGATGTCTATGCTTTCTTATATATTAACTTGGAAACTGCTTGGACTGAATGCAAGTCTTGTCTCTCTGTATCACAGGCAGTCATTCAGCACATGCTTAATCAAAAAAGACCTCAAGGATCTGCTCCCATGCAGCAGAGTCCATAAAACACTTTCTAGGAGTTTGATACATGTCAACTGGTAGCTGTATACTACAATGTATACCCTACAGCAGACAAAACTATAAAGTAGCAAAGTGGGGCAGAAGATGGCAGAGGTAAGGGAAAAGAGTGAATGCCTTGTTATCCTAAGTGGCAAAAAAAATTTTAAACAATATCAAGAAATTAATCCCACTCCAAGGAGAGGTGGAAAAACAAATGAAAAAAAAATACTCAAAAGATGTGCCTGGCCAGAGTCAATTCTAAGGAAATCCTCATTGAGTGCTAGGTTTATCTCTGAAAATATAGGAAGACTCATCAGCCAGGCACTGCAGAGATTTCAGTAGGCAC